GACTATAAAGATAATAAGAAACATACGCTTTAAATCTTTATTACTGACAACAAATATATGAAGCGCAAAGCACATATGACCCTTTGCTCTAGTATTTCACCATACAAAATACACTTTTTAAAATATTTCAGTGCTACAATTGACGAAGGCAAGACAGGAAAGTGCATGACAGGATGGAAACAATTCGCCTTTGTCGAACCCACAACCATCACGTCAGCAGCCGAGCACCATGAATTCTGCACGGGCGTGGTGGACTTGTCGTATCACATAGCTCGCCATAATGCAGGGAAAAAAATAACCATTCTTCATAACGCGTCATGAGTGCAGCTACTTCGGCATACACAGTAAAAGCCATTGCAACACCGGGTGCAGTAGCCTGCTTTGCCGTCAAGCTGTCATGTATCCTACTGTCTGGTGCGGAGCGGAATGAGAGCTCTAAAGCGGGAGCTTGACGATTTGACAGCAACAACTACTAAAGTGCATCTAATTGCCAATTTCGAGTCAGCTGCTACGTTTGTTGAAGTTTCTACTTCTCATAATAAAATCATCACGTGCGCTTGAGTTTTACATTCAAAAGCACAATGCCTTAGCGTAATAGGGCATGTGCGCGTTGTCTTCTCAATTGCTAGCCTCGCTTCGGTTCTCGGTGCATTACTCAACCGTGTCGCAAAGACACGAACGTCTGTATGCGTACTATTGGCTGTTTCAAACATTCCTTGAACTCGCACTGCAAGTACAGCTGTGCAATGCCTACTATTGATTGATTGGTATATGAAGCTCGGCGTCCCGAAACTACCCTATGATTACGAGAGACGCCGTAGCGCTGGGCTCCAGAAATTTCGACCACCTGGGGTTATTTAACTTGCACCCGAAACCTGAGCACAGGGGCCAACAGCAATTTCGACACCATCGAAAATACAGCCGACGAAGCCGGGATTCGATCCCGCCAACTACGGGTCAGCAGCCGAGTACCTTAGCCACTAGACCACCACGGCGGGGCTACGCCAGCAAATCCAACAATTTGGGCGGACAATTTTGAACCCCGCAACCCCCTCCCATAAACGCTGGGCGCGATTACACGCATGTGCTACACATTGTTGCAACCGTTAACGAGCTCCCTTTATAAACATGTCTGTTAGCCATGCAACAAGGATGAAAGAAAAAAAGATTAAGAATATTTGCGTTTTTAATGATTGTAGTTTGTAAAATGTCACCTTATACCTTTTCCCAGCTTGTTTGAGAGCTCTGTCAACACCGACGCCAGTTATATAATGTTGTAAGCCAGCCCAAAGTCCACTGAAAACGGAGCAAGGGAAATGGAATGCAAAAAATTTATTTTGGAGCTAGGGAATAACGTGAAGTTTTCAGCCGTGCTGTGAGTACGCAACGTAAAGTGTAAATAATGCGAGAAACGTTAATTGACACTGCAGAAAGCAAAAACATGGCAATTTCAGGCTGTGCCTCGACATATGACGTAAAAAAAACAAAAAATATAATTTATAGCTCGAGACTATGAACCAAAACCAAACAAAAGAAAAATTGCACTATATAAGAAAGAAAAAACGTTTCATTTGGCTCTTCATTTGTATTCTGCCTGTACTAAATTGTCAAGTCACCCGAGATAAACATCTGATACAACAAGAGTGCTTTCGCTAAATGGGGGCACCAGGGGAGCTTCTAATCAACGTCTATCCCGATGCTTTGCGTATCAAGCTTGAGTGTATACATCGGAGCAACCGTGCCACGCTTTTCAGAAATCCCAAAGGTGTGATTTTTCTTCGTGAACACCAAGAACATTTCGTTCTCGGATACAGTGAAAGTAAGTTTTGCAACTGAACATAAACCATGGTTTTTTTTACCCTTTTCGTTTATTCTTTCCTTTTTGTTTGTTTGTTTGTTTGTTTGTTTGTTTGTTTTCGTCGTAGTACTCTTACGACGTGGTTTTACGATGAAGGATTTTTTTTCTCCTTATAACCGACCCCATGTAAGTTCCGGGAAATCAGTTTAAGCGTGCTCGTCGAAGCGTTGATACAGAAGTGACGCCTCCAGGATTGTTGTTTAAAAGATTAAGGATGGTGGCAGCCAAGAGAAATCGCGCTCGTTCATTGCCCCTAGAGACAGCGCGCAAATTGTTTCCATGCTGAGCCGAGTCTGGCAACACACACAGCCTCGTATCACGGATAACTGGGATAAGGCGAACAAAGTGCCTGACAGCCTTTTCGAGCACTTCAAGCAATGCATGCACATCGTAAACACAACGCTATTTTTCGCATTAATGAATCAGAAAAAAGTTACGGTTGTGTTCTGGGATTTTTTTTTTGTTATCAGCTGTGTTTGCACAAACGAAAAGAGAAAACCTAAGCGCAGACCTATAGGCCTTAATTACGTTTACGTGAGTTATCAAGGCCACGTCAAGGAATAATGGAACTGCGAAAGCGTTAAGCCAGTGTGGATAACGCTGATCGTGTTGTAGAGACCTCTTGAGCTATTTTCACGTGTTATAAATTGGTCTGAAGCAACGTAAAGCTTTATAGATTTCCAAAACTTGCTGCCAGTGTTCATTTTGTATTCCTTGCCCACTGAGGCGGATTGTTGGTATTGTTTGTGTACGTATAGCTTTTCAGTCCAATCTTTTTCTCATGGTTCGAAGATTTCTTTGAACAACGACATTTACATTTCATCATTTACCTAGCTGGTCCACTAAATTTTCAGGGAACGCGCGGGCAGCGTACTCAGATAAGGAGTCGCACGTGTAATGTTCTCTCGTTAACTATTTGTAGCAAGAGATTCACGACAACGACGATGATGATGATGAGGGGCAAGATGATGATGATTACCGAGTGTTTGAGTTGTACCAAGCACGTTGTGGTCTCTGATAATGACAATTCTCTATCTTTGGCACACGGAAAACCTCGACACAGCCATGATGCAAAAATGCATATCTCGAAAGCCGTTAGCAAATACACATGATGCAAAGTAATAAAAACGCCGACCAAGGTGAAATACACCAAAATTAAAAAAACGTTTCGGCTCCGCACAGGGAGCCTTGTTCACAGTAACCGCAAATGGCGCATGGGTCATTGTGAACAAGGCTCCCATGGGGGGCGCCGAAACGTCTTTTTAACTTTTGTGTATTTCAACTTAGTCGGCGTTTCTGTTACTTTGCACTATGTTTCTCCCCGACCAGACGGGATTCCGTCAGACTCTTCACTATAAATACACATGGTATCCTAAATGACTTATTAAAGACGCAGAGGCTGTTTCAGGAACCCGAATTTTAAATCTATTTAGTTGTTTGCACATGATCGCTGCATTAAATAGTGATATAATGATATTGTCGATGTGCTATGAAAAATAATGCAAGCACAGGGCTAAAATAGATAGTGGCGTCAACAAGAAAAGGACGGTTGTGGGCAGCCTTGCAGCAGCAAAAACAGGCCAGGCAGCTCCGGCACATTCCTCGCGTGAGGCTCTCGTTGGGGCTGCAGGACCGGGTATTACCCTTCGCTACGATGTGAACAAAAACTGACTTTTAAAAATGGGACAGAAGACAACTACCCGTTTGCAGCACAAAGCCACAAGAAAATCCATACAGATTTCCCAGGAAAAAACGCTTCTTGGTTGGCTAAAAATTGGTCCTTCCGCCACCTTGCGGGTTTCCGTAGAACTGATGGGCAAACAAAAAAATGGCAGCATATTCATCGGTAAATGATGGAGAGTAGGGCGAAGCATCCGTCCGTTCATTCGTTCTTGCTTCCTTCCATCCATGCGTCTGTCTGTGTGACCGTCCGTGCGTGCGTCTGTTCGTGCATCCGTCCCTGCGTTCGTCCATGCATCCGCCCCTGCGTCTGTCCATGCGTCCATCCGTCCGTGCAGTCATCCGTGCGTCTGTCTATGCATATGTCTGTGTGTCCAATCGTCCATCTAGTCAACACTCCAAGTACCACCATCTCGCATCTTTTCATCATATATACCCCATATAGAAGCACCGCCATCCAGCGGACATTCCAAGGAGTAAACGAGAGGTGGCACACGCACACTTTCTTACGGCTTGCGCTTCGGGTCCACTTCCCACCTTTAACCACCTCGAGTTCATGGTATATACTATATATTCATGGCACTGCGGCCCAATGCTCGCTAAACCTTTCTCGAACCAAGGAGGTTACGCCCAGCGAGTATAACGTAGCAACCCTTACTTGTCAGATAGTGCTCAATGCACATGCCAATGGCTGCTAATGGGGAATGAGAGACAGGAGAATTCGGCTTTTAGTTAACACGCACGCTGCGAATTTTCTTATTGTTCAACAACGCACAGGAGAAATCTCCCACCGGCACCACCTTGCAGGTCAAAGCGTAAGACATGTTACGTACTACTACGAGGGACGAACGGTTGCCGCTTTAAGGAGCTTCAACCCTAAAACTGACTGTACCGAAAAGTATTAAAGGCATCGCAGGTTCCTGAACACTGCGCTATGCGTATGCGTGCGTGCCGACATCTGACGCATTTCAGGGTCCCGAGACGGGGGCGTACAGAGCTGACTGTAAGGTAACGATTCCCTGCCGACGCCCAGCATCAGGCGGCAGGTTCTCGCCTTACGAATTTCGTTGTAATGTGAAACCTCTACGACTACGGCGCAGGGATAGGCATGGCGTAAAATTTCTTTCGAGAGGAAAAAAGAGGGGTTTACACCCCACGCCAGTGCGTGTACGTTTGCACGTGTGCTTGTGTGTGTGCGCGTATCAATGCTCATATTGTAAATATCTTAGGGGTGGACTAGATTTAACTATCTGTGTGCCACTTCTACTACCACATGCCACTTTTGATTCTGACTTCTGGTTATCACTTCTGTCACTAAATTGATGGATTACTTCTTTTTTCAGCAATCACTCATTGTAATCCGACAATAAAGCCCGCTGTTTACGGGTGCAGCCTTCAAAATAAGCTGAATTTCTTCTCGGAGGATATATTAGTGTAAGCTGGTATTGCTAAATTGAACCTGATATTTACCACTAGTGGTTAACCATACAAGTTCACAGTTTACTGCTTCCCGATGTGTGCTTAGCCTACTTCTGTTGTAGAGGTTATACTGCCTGGTAGAATGTTTTCTTTTTACTCTATTTCACACTATTTACGTTTATTCACATCTACCGTCATATAACCTCTTTTACACGTTGTCTCCACACGGCAACACAGCTTGGTACTGAAGAAGATGTGTATGATTAGGTAAAGAACAGCCTTCGACATGCTTCATCGCGATTATACACATCAATTCATTTCACTTTAATATTCAAGTTATATTTAAAGATTAACGCGTGTAATGAATAAATAGTACAAGAAACAGAGCAGAATAACGTAATTATGGCCAAGTAATATAATGGTCATCACGAGCCAAGAGTATTCGACGATGCGGTAAGTGCAATGCGGCACGCCGGCTGCTCGCAGGGCCTCGTGCGGCTGACGCGATCCATGTGGCAGCGCGGCAAGCCCGTCCTCTTCACCGACATGTTCAGCATCTGCCGGCCCGTCATCGAGTGCAGCTTCGAGAGTATTCTGGGATTCCTCAACCAAGTCTACGTTGTCACAGCCAAGGACGGGGTGCTCGAGAAAGACCGCAAGTTCCCGCAAGCCAAACCGGCCGCCTCGGTCAGTGGTTTTTCGGACTATTTTATCTTTTTCCTGTACAAAACAACTAAGAGAGCTCAGTGGGGGTGGCGCGAATAGTGCATGGTAAGAGGACTCCTCTACCTATAGGTGAATTAAAAAAGGGGGGGGGGGAGAGAATGGGGGTTAAAACATTTTCGAAAATTTTCGAGTTTGCTTGCGTATATACACTCACAAATGGAAAGGCACGCCCGACCACGCGTAAATTATGCTTGAACTTCCTCTCCTCGCCCCCAACAGAAAATTATTTCTGGCTATGTTCCTGCCTCTAAACTCCCTTTCAATTTTCACCTGCACACCCACCCTTTTCCCTCCACCAACAGCGAACATACAGTTAATATAGAATGCTTGTCATCTGCCCCCGTGTCCACCCGAAGGAACTTATAGCAAATCGCCACTCCTCCCCAGCAAATAAATTCTGGCGCCGTCCTAGAGCTACGCCCGAACCTGCTTCTTCATTTCGTCTAAATCTTTCCGAGTACGCGACTATTGTGCTTGCTAATTGCGGAAGACTTGACTCGAAGCCGCCTTCATGCTGCAGGTTATCACTGTCGATCCGTAGTACGTGTAGAGAAAGAATTCTTTAATGATCTTGGTGAGTGAGTTAATTGAGAGAAGAGATAGTTGTCGGCGGGAGGTGGAGAGGTTCAACCAGAATAAAATGCGTAGTCTTCTACCCTGCGTTGATTGGTGGGTAAAAGGTAAGAACAGCGTTGTATGGAAGAATGAGATTCCATAAAACAGCCGGGCGTGCGTACAGCGCGCAGCACAGTCGCTGCGAAAGATGGAAGAGCGGCCTTTCAAAGCCTTTTCTAAACACTTTTTGGATAACTACTGCTATCACACTTGCTGGATACCCACCACGCTATAAATAATCATAATTTTTTTTTGTAGTAGGTTGGTATTCACTATGCTATCCTTCACCATTCTTCGGAGAAGCGTGGTATACATACTACATATTTTCAAGAAATTTTGTGCCTTTTTTATGCATTGGCTGGACAGCGATTAAGAATCGCGCCTGAAGTGAGTATGCGCCACATTTATTAGGTGATTAAGAACAGGATTTTCTAATCGGTTGGAACATTGGACAACCCACTCGTTACGCAATTTGCATTTTGTGATGCCTGGTTGCTCCTTTGCTGTTCTAGAACGCTTTATTACTCATACTAACATGATTTATTTCCGAACATCAAGCCTGCCTAAGGCAAGTTTGCAACGGAGTTTCAAGCAGCGGTGTGGCCCAGCGGTAAACACTGGGCTGGCAAGCAGGGGAGCCGGGTTGGGATACCACTGTGTCCTTGTTTATTTATGATGTTTTTAACGCGATAGCGTTTAAAGAGCTCGTTTCGCAGAATTTCTGGCGTCGGTGTCCGCATAGGCGGTTGTGAGCGAAACATCATCATCTTTGCATGACCGAAAAAAAGGGCAGCATATCCACGGAGTGAATGATGGAGAGTGGGGCGAAGAATTCGTCCGTCCACTCGTTCTTGCTTCCGTCCGTCCATGCGTCCGTCAGTGTGATCGTCCATGCGTTCATCAACCCGTCCGTGCGTGCGTCTGTTCGTGCGTCCATCCCTGCGTTCGTTTTTTTATTAGCACTATTTTTTATTGTTCAACAACGCACAGAAGAAGTCTCTCACCGGCACTACCTTGGAGGTCAAAATGTTATACTTGTTACAATCTACGTAGGACGAATGAGGGCCGCTATAAGGAGTTTCGCCCCTAAAATCGAAAAAGATGCAAGAATTCTGCGCCTGAATGGGGATCGAAGCCGCATCGTTTGCGAGGCAAGCGGGTATCTTACCTTAGAGCCACGCCACTTCATTTTACTTACGTGGTATGTATTACAAATGTAGGTTACGTATATACATAGCGTGCCTTTGACAAAATTTCACTAGGCATACAAAACAATACCATAAAACGCTGTTTCTAAAAGGGTATATACAAATGACTGTGCAACTAAGAGACTTTTGTGAGCAGCTGCAGTTCACACCAGACTGCTAAGAAGAGTTCATTAAGTGTGCTGCTCAAACAGGCATGCCTGTGCTCGTGAATGCACTGAAAATAACTTATTCTGCTTGGAAATGTAGGGAAAGTAACGTTCATTCTTCACAAGCACACGCGTCCTGTACACATTCCTCAAAATACAACATCAAATATTGCCGTATTAATGCGGGTAGTACAAGTGTACACTGCCATCGGGCGTCAGAACATGGCATTATCATAACGACTTCATACTTTAAAGGCCAACTGCGGCGTTTTTTTACCATGTCACGATAATGGTGCTTTTATGTTACTGAGGCACTCTTGTCACGCGCCCGATAGCTAAAATGCTGAACAAATTCGAGAACCCTTTCTAGCGAAAAATCGCAATCACTTAACCGAAACACATCCGAGTGCACTTCTACGTGTGACGCAATCCTTTGCCCGAACCTGCCTTATTGGGCATATTTTCCACCAGATGGAACTACCTATCCACGCCATCCAAGTTTCTGCCTGCGGTCATCGGCTAAAACGCTTATGTTGTTATGGTGAATATATGGCGAATCGTGTGCAACCCACAATGCAAAACCACTTGTCACCTTTCGCATGCCCACCAACGCGGAAAAGAAAATCGCACGCTCAACCAAGGAAGCGTTGGCCAAATTCACACAATCTGTAGCATACAAGCAGACGCTGCAGTGGCACATCAGTTCCGCCACTTCTTCCAGGCAAAACTCAACGTGACACGTACAATGTTGCCATTAATTATGGCAAGCGAGGTAAGGGTTTCGAGGCAAGCTATAAAATTCAATTGAAAAGATTCTGCGGAACTCTCAATCTTGCAATTTGGCATGAATGGTGCAAACGGGCAAACGAACGTGCCTAGTGAACTTCATTGAGATCTATTGGCGTCGAAAACTCATCGGAGTCGGCCTTTAAAGACAGTCACCCACTACAAGAGGCACACATGCTACTGCACCCTTAAGGCCGCATAGTGGGTGCATAGCAAGTTCGAACACACTAAGTATTTGAACAATGCCTTTTATTGAAAAAATGCCGGCGACATCAAACGCTTTCCCATGGGTACGAGAGGTTCCTCGTGGTTCGGTGCTTTCTCCGCGAGGAGAGCTCGCAGCCGACCCCGCTACTTCCGCTAGAGTCGGAAGCGACACCATCCCAGGGGCACGACTGTGTTGCCTTCGGGACGGCAGTAGACACTGCTTTAATCTCAGAGGCTCACAGCCGACACTGTTTGATGGACCGGAAGAGAGAACAAAAGAGGGCCGGGAACCAGCTGTTCGGCTCACGTCGAAGGTATATAGTCTAGGAGGAATTGGTTTGAAGTACGCACTAGGAACTGAATATGCCTATCGCGTGCCGCTCTTAAAGCCGCAGCTTTAGAGTTCCCCAATTTTCTTTTCTTATTTCTTGCGATAGTGGTTACGGACACCGGCAGCGGCAGAGGTGGAAAACTACATCCCTGCACCAGACCCTTGTAGTGATCTGATAACAGCTTTCGCTATAAATGTAAGCTTCCGTACTGCCTGATAAAGAACGCGACAGGGTTTCCGTTCACAAGAATACAAGGTCGGTGCAATTTATTCCAAGAGGACGTTCCGTGACGCCTCTTCACAATGGCAGCGTTCGATTGCCTTCCATTCCGCAACAACGTGTCACTATCACGGTGTCTCTCAGCAAAGGTATAACGACAACAAGGGCTCCGACCTGCTTCTTGTTTCCAAGCTCAGCCACTTGGATTTGCATTCAGCCGCTGGGCTAATTACGAAGGTGGAAGTGGCCCTTCCGACGCAAAATGTATTGCTGAACGTGCGTCGCTGCCGGCTAGAGGCCATCACGATGACGCGAATTCAATAGCTCGCCTCTGGCTTTTCCGACGTGGTCACGCGAACTTCTCATATACGAAAACGCTACATAGATGACTGGAATCGGTTGAAAGCAGAAAGGTTGTGGCATGCCTTGTTGTATCGAAGTTATCTGGAACTGTGACAGGTTCTGTTCGCACCGATTTGCATGCCATGAAAGGTAAATCAATGTTCCAGAAGCACTTATTGGGTCAACAGTTAAAAAGAAGTGCTAGATGTATTCAGGAAAAAAAAAGAAAGAACAGTACAAAGAGAGGAACGGCCGAGGCATTTAGTATAGTCTACAATAACTGGTATTCTACCTCACACTGGGGAAACTCATAGGGGAGATTCAAAGTTAGAGGTAGAAAGAAAACTCACACACCCACAGTCACGCTCGTCTAAATCAGCATATGGACATTCATCTGCTGATGAAAGTCTCCTGTCTTCTATAATTTTAGTAATGTAACCAGCACGTTCGTCAGCGATCACTTCTCAGGACGACATCGTGGGGTGGTTACTGCCATCATCGACTTGTCGTTCATGTGAGCTACAGCGAAAAGTCTGTAGTGATTCCAAGTAGGACATCATACTTGGCATCAACTTTTTCCAACATCTAACCAAGTTAAATATGCATTTGGAACACTTGACACTAAAATAACTCGAACAAGAGCAGTGGAACCTGAAAAAATCAGTTACGTAGGTTGCACTAAACTTACGATGTCTACTCGTGTATTAACAACGCTAGCTAATAGTAAATTTTGCCTATAGTCTCGTAACAACGTAACAAAATTAGGCAAGTATATTACTGTGCCCCTGCCTCGTTCCATTGAGCGCTTTTCACATTATGATAGCATCTTTTCCTTGGGAGAAACAATGCGCGAATTTTCACTCTGTGGTTGTTGGACAAGTCGAATCATCTGATTCTGTGTGCTGTGCCTCGCAGCCCACAGGCAGTCGGCGCAAGCTTCTTCGACGACTCAACAGCACCGTGGAGCCACCTCCGGACGGCGTGCTGAGACTCAAGGGCCAGATGGTGTCGCTGCCGGAGGCCGACTGCCTGCTCTTTGTGTGCTCGCCGCGGGTGAAGAGCCTGGAAGACATGCACCGCGTCGGCCTCTTCTTCAGCGACCTGGCCCTGCATGATCCCGTTCGTGACCTCATACTCATCTCTCACCAACGCCGCAGAGAACGCGAGCTCGTCGAGAAGTTGGACGAGGCCTCCAACCACCTCAAGGTTAGTGCGCCTCTTCTTTATCTCACTTGTTTTCAAAGAAGATAGTCTTTCTTGGGATACTTCAATACAGAAATTTTGGTATGTCTGTTAGTCTTTACCATACCAGAGTGTCCATACCAGACACCTAATTCAAAGACTAGGCTTGCCTTCTGATCTTCTTTCTCTTCGTCTATTCCCCTACCCCTGTACACGAAGTATTTGTATATTCGTTCTTGTTACTATCTTCGTCCATTTCTTCATTTTTGTATCTTCCTTCAGATTTCTCGTGGCCTCAGATCCTGGATTCTAAACTGCGTGAGGACAAGCGGCGCACGGAGGACCTGCTGTGCTCCATCTTCCCAGCGCGCGTGGCTCGCAACCTGTGCTTGGACCTCCCCGTCGAGGCGGAGAAGTTCGAGATGGTGTCGTGCCTCTTCTCGGATATCGTCGGATTCACGGCGCTCTGCGGCAGCGAGAACGTCCAGCCCATGGACATCGTGCGCCTCCTCAACCGCCTCTACGTACAGTTCGACTCCCTCACAAACGTGCACGGTGTGTACAAGGTCAGCTCATGTTGGTTCTACTCCGCGATACATTCACGCACGCTGCCCCTTCCTTTAGGTTAAACGAAGGTAGTGGTGATGGTGGTGATGCAGAAGGCTCGATCAAACCAACATACATATCTTGAGCCACTCATGTGACGATGATAGTGGTGTGCCACCAATCGTTGAAGAATTCCGTGTCTCGAAAGAAAGCAAACCCCGCTGCCCTTCCTTCCTAATAGTCGCAAGCCCTACGGCTAAAATAAAGCGTCTTGCCAGAGATAATACTTTTGCAGGCTGCCAACCATCGCATATGTTTTCCTTGTCGAACTGTGGTCTCCGCCAAATGAAATGTGTGATATGTGTGATGCCACTGACATCACCATTGACGGCCTCTCCTCTTGTGCCCCCCCCCCCCCTCCCTCTTGATTGTCTTGAATAGACAAACCAAGGTGTACGCGGAGTCTGTTCTAACTCAGAACAGCACCGCTGCTTCTTCACGAGCAACTCCGTCGATCAACCTACTGGAGATTTCAGAAACACTGGTCTCAATAATTAGTCTCTTATGCGCGTATAAATTTCGTACGCATCCTTCCGTGGTTTCGCGCTGCTCACTGTCCTGGATCTTTTCCATTTCCCGTTACTATTGTGGAACTGCGAACTGGAAGGTTTTCCCGCATTATTTCTATCTGCACAGGATGCACTTCGCCTCATCACTTTCTTGTCAACGTCCATAATCTTGTCCCAGTTTCGCTTCCGCGTTTATTTTCTTTTTCGTCTTTATTTGTTTACCTAAATAACTGAGAGTACCTGGGGCTTGTTCTTTTTTTCTTCAATGAAAAACAACATGCAAAGCCTAATCCTTCTTGTACTACCGTTATTCCTATCCTGTGAATAACAGGTAATGACTAATTCGCGTTATGTCTGCTTTAACTAGTGGTAAGTAGTAAAACCTTAATTTGAATTACCGCAAAGGACATCGCTCATACGTAACATTCTCGTTCTTCCTCGGCATTTATGTTTATAGTATACGTTTCCGCGTATCTGTAACTGATAGCGACATTTCTTCTTCTACACGACAACACTCCGATAACCTCCGTATGGATGTAATCTCTAGTCATAACTAGCGCTGCCCTCAAACGTTCTACATCGAGCTCTGTTCGTTTCAAGCGGGTGTGTTTCTAATCGACCAAACTGGACACAGGTTTGCTTACCGCGAGGGCTGGCTAGAGGCTTCAATACACTTGAACTTCAGGGACTTCCGCGTCTCTCTTAGCCAAGCCATATATATTACTGCCTTCAATAAAGGTTGCTAATGCATGCTCTACGAGACATCCTGGACCCAATCGAGAACCGTGGTACAGTAGAGCATCTAAGTTCTGATTGTGGCCACTGACAACAAATGGGAGATGGTCAACAAATCCAATTAGAGCTTGACATTCAGCTTTGGCCGAGGCAGCTTCCAAACCCAAACGACGCAGAAGAGACATGGTAAATTAGGATAACTTGTACTTAAGCTATCTGTTTATTACTTGACGAGACCATAGTACCTAACGCTAGAAAATCAATGCAAGACTAAAGTGGGTATTTTGCGTTCACGGTTTCTAGTGAATTGTCCCTTGTATTTCTCTTATGTTATACGCCAATGGCTTTATTAGGGCCCTGCAAAACTTTTTGAGCATGGTTAGAAAACACTGCCGATCGGCAGTAGAGGATCCCGACAGCACGCAAGCCAAATGATATAGTGCAGCACGTGGCCTGGAATTCACAATAAATTATGAAAGTCAGCTAAAAACGGCTTTTTCTTCTTTCGATAAATCACGGAATAAGCTCGAAATTCACTCGTAGCAAGCCCATCTATCAGCCATTGACTGATTAGATTTGGGTGCACGTTAAAGAACCCCAGGTGATCGAAATTTCCGGAGCCCTCCACTACGGCGTCTCTAATAATCATAGCGTGGTTTTGGGACGTTAAACCCGACAAATCAATCAATCAGTCAATCAATCAACCACCCATTGACTGATTCCAACATGGCGCGCTCGGTCGTTACAGAGATCACCGCGGGAGGCCGCGACTTGTTTACGCGCGCGCGCGCGATCACACTAAGAAAGTCGCGCATTCGAAAAAAAAAGTGCTCAAGGTCACGCAGCGTGCATGATGTTTTTTTTTTCCCTGTCATCCCTTTCTGCTTAGCTTCCAGTGCTTTCGTCAGGACGAGAGAAGAGAGAATGCAATTGCAGCTTGCGACAAATCTTTGTAACTCCACTCGCACTAGACGCATTTTGAAAAATTTTAAGGCGTTAAATTCGTGCGGCAATAAGCTCTTCCAGTGAATTCATTCAATGGTTACTTTAAAGAGTGTTTCAAGGCCCCTTTAACAGAAAAGACGCCCCACGCCGGTGCCGTCCTTTTGGAAGGGTGAGTGGCCGCGAGAGATTATTTTGTTGCAGTGTGGTGCACATTATGTGCGTGCGTGGTGTTCTGTTCCACACGGCTAACGAAGTTGTGCTAGAAGACGAAGTGTCCTTGTAATGTCTAGCATTATTATATGGGGTTTTATGTGCCAAAACCAAGATATTATTTGGAGGCATGCCATAGTTTATGGTTTAAACATTTCGACCACCCGGGTTCTCTTACGTGCACCCAAATCCATTTAGACGATTCTCTAGCATTTCACCTTTGATGAAGTGCGACCGCCACAGCAAGGATTGAACCGGCGTATTTCGGGCTGGCAGCCCAGGGCTGCAAAAACGGTGCCAACGTGATGGCCATCTCGCGGCGTCTGTAGTGGTACGAGTTGCAAGTACAATCACGACGCTGCGGTCTTACTTCATTCATTTTATTCATTTTATTTACCCTCAGGGCCATATGGCATTATAGAGGCGAGTGTAAATAAAGCTTACAAGGAAAAGGAAAATACAGCAGAATGTACAGCAGAGAAAATACAGCATGAGAATAAACAATGCAACAAACATATAAATAAAAAAGTAAAGAAAAACTCCTGATTATACAACAGTTGCTGTGCAACGACGGTGAACATAATACGATTTTGAGTAACGTTTAGCTCATACAATACTGAGTAATGTTTGATGGAAAATATTGTTATAGTAATAGTGACTATGTCTTCGGGAAGGTGGTTCCAGTCTACTGATGTACGAGGTATAAATGATCGATAAAAACTCTGGGAGTTGCAGGATGCGATTCCAACCTTATGACGATGGTCGATGCGATGGGATATGAACTGAGGATTGAGGATTAATTGGTTATGTAGGGTGGGATGATGGAATAATTTGTGAAATGTACTCAAACGAGATATTTTCCGACGGGATGCAAAGGAAGGAAGGCCTAGGCTGGATTTCATTGAACTGATACTGGCGATGCGATTCTAGTTAGAATGTATGAAACGGGCGGAGTTATTCTGTATGCGCTCAAGTGAAGTAACCAGGTTATCGTGGTAAGGATCGCACACTGATGCATATTCAAGTTTGGAACGTATTAATGTTTTGTACAACAGAAGTTTTAGTGCAGAAGGTGCTTTTGAAAATTTACTACGTATGTAGCCTAACAGGCGATTAGCATTATTAGTAATGTATGCGATGTGGGGTGCCCAAGATAAGTTAGATGTGATAAGAATGCCCAGGTATTTATACAAGGAGACTGGATCAAGCGGGACGTTGCTTAAGTAGAATTTTGGTGGGGCGTTAGCAGATCTAGTTACGCGCATTACCTTACATTTAGCGATGTTTAAGTCCATTCGTCATGTGCTGCACCAAGCTGCTACTGTGTTAAGGTCAGATTGGAGGCTTAAACTGTCATTATTACTGGTTATTTCACGAAAAATGACGCAGTCATCTGCAAAAAGATGAATGTTAAAAGAAAGTGAAGACGTGAGGTCAATAATATAAATTAGAATTAAAAGTGGACCAAGAACTGGCCCTTGCGGTACACCTGAATGGACCGCAGCAGATGACGAACTGTGATTGTTAGCAGTAACGTATAGAACACGGTTAAACAAGAAACACTCAATCCACTTGAATAAACTATTGTCAATATTTAGTAGGCTCAGCTTGAAGAGTAGTAGTTGGTGACAGACTTTATCGAAAGCCTTACTGAAGTCTAAAAAAATGCAATCAGCACATAATGAACGGTCTAAAATCTGATGCAGTTTGTGAGTGAAATATATGAGCTGTGTTTCGCATGAAAAATGTTTGCGAAAACCATGTTGTGCTGGTGTAAAAAAAAAGAATTGTATTCAAGGAAGTTAATGGGGTTGGTGAAAATGACATGTTCTAATAATTTACAGGAAGTGCTCGTTAACAATGCTCCTTAAGCAATGCTCCGTAAGCAATGCTCCGGCAATGCTCCTTAAGGTACGGCTTATCCGTTGGCATTGGGCAACGCAGCTGTCAGTGGCGATGACGATGAGAATGACGGTGAAGAACAAACGCGTTTCAGAATACACATTCTTTTTCTGCACCACGCCATAGTGCATGCAGGGTACCCACTATACGCCATGGCAAAGACTATGACCCCAAGGATGATGAAGATGATCATTAAAAATTTTGTTGACGCGCACCAAAAAAAAAAAACAGACGAACAGAACAGGTGACAAGGACAGCACTTGCGACTTAAGCCTTTTCTTATCAGCCTCTTCTGTATATCTGTTCTTTTGGTGCACTTCAACAAAATTTTCAATTATGAAAGTAATCCAACTGGTCAGACTTGCCATTTTGCTGCGAAGATGAGAAAAATGACGATCACGGACAGCGACGGGTTGGCGTTGTACATCACGTCTCGGTGTGCTCTACGATGCATTTCGTATGAGTGGAAACAACCAATAACCACCAGGAGGCACTTGCCCAGATGTTGGCCCTGTCAGCTTCAGGCTAGGCGTGATACCACAAAGCAGTAATAATGCAAGCAAAACTAAAGTAGGTACTCAAGACAACATACGAGTTAGGACCAATAAATATTGTACATAACTGTACACATCATGGCACTTATTTGCGTGCGTGAGAGGTGAATATCACGGGTATATATATATATATATATATATATATATATATATATATATATATATATATATATATATATATATATATATATATTATGGAGTCTTTCTGTCAACTGGCAACGAAGTTTCACGGCTCCTCTAGGCCAGTTGGCTTCGAGTTGGAAGAATGAAAATGTTATCCGAACAAATGCATGCATTCTAACGCCAGCATCGAGTCGCAAAGGACTCTCAATTTCTTCCGCATTGTACGAGTTAACCATCTCAAGACACTTCCAGTTCTGCATACCTAGACTGCGACATGCTGAGCCTTGAAGCGTTAGGTTAATCCGTTTATCTCTATAGATACGCCAGAATGGACGGGTCCAGTTGTTGCATCAGCATAGTCGTTTGTGCGACCCACGCGCAAAGCCCGTGGACGCTCGGAGAAAATTCTATGCTCCTGAATACGCCAGTGGCACACTTATCGCGTTCTTCAAAACATATGTGGTAAACCAAGTTGCGCGATTACAAATAAAGGTAAGTATATACGAGTTAATAATAAGTCGTTGGAATGGCGAGAGTTACTTCTTCAGACGGCTCACAAACCGAAGAAGAATCGACTGCTTGACCGTGGGTGCTAATCTTGAGGCAACAAAGGCGCGTTGTAAATGGGAAAATTCCAGACTCTTCAAGTAAAACTAATTGTGATGTCCAGAGAAAAGCAAGGAATGATAGAAATGAAGATTTTATAAAATACGAAATATATTCTTCGGGACGTGCAGAAAGCCGGCATCAATTTCAAATACCTGAAGAATATTCTCACGGGTAGTATAAGCATCACCCCTAGATACGAACGATGAATTTTTTCTTCTACAGCCTGGACTCGATCTAAAAAGAAAACAGAAATCGAATTGTCCACAGTTTTGGGTACATGCACGCCGGTTTTGCATCTAGGTGTTTGCAGGAATTTGCTACGGTGACTCCTGGTGTTTCAGCGTTACGAAGAAACAAGTACAAACGTATACACGTATACACTGATTTACGATTGAAAATCTGGCACTTGCGATAACCACGACCTAAGCTCTATCTCTCTGTCGAAAAAATGAAACAATTCTTTCGAAGACTTAATCCAGACGAAACGCGATCTCGCATACGAGTAGTCAGTCGGCTTAGGGGAGTTTAATTTCAGAGACAAATATCTTCTGTCAAGAGCGTACGTGATCAGCAGTGATTACATTTAGGAAAACAATGACACCACCAGCAAAAAAAAAAAACAGTGGCGCAATATTGGAAGCTAGCGAAAGCGAGTTGGGGCAAAAAAAAATTTTAAAAAATGTGAAACTCCCAACCTTGTCAGGCTCTCCTACATACGAGCTTCAATTCGAGGAGCGCTGTACAGAGTAAAGAGATCAATCTTTCCGTATAGTTTATGCGAACAGTATCTCCGAAAAAAAAAGGGAACTGAAAAGTGGATAACAGATTTCTGACAACGTGACAAATGAAATTAGAGAACTCCATGTTTTCTCTGGGAAAATCCTTGGGCAGAGCTCGAGCAATCTAGCGAATTGCGAGTAGGCTATGACGAAACGAACGTGCCATCCGATATTTCGTAAAACAAAAATGTGTTCCCGACGGAGGGCTGATTACGTAAAAACCATCATGCTCTTACAGTGTGCCAGAATTTTCATGAAAATGCGCAACGTGGAAACATCGATCCTTAAGCTCGATCCTATATATTCCCTTTCCTTTGATTCCCAAAGAAGTGTTGCACAGTTCATTTGCAACTATATTGAAATGCGTAGGTTCCTGACGTTCGTAAGTTAGGCAATAGAAAAAAATATATACATAGTTAGGAGCGCTTTCAGGATATAATAACATCGCCACGTCGTCTGACTTGTAGAAAGGCTTTTGCTTGTCCGAAACTTCTGTAAATATAAATACGGCAATGTACCAAGACTCGCAGATGCGAGTAGACGAGATGCGGATTGGGTTGGGACACTGCCTCTCTATTCTGCCCGCTCCGCCAAATCCGTGGGGTACAGCTGCTAAACTTGGACAGCACAGGCTGTATTCGTTAAGTCTATCGAGGTACATTTGTTCGTAAGGCGAAACTTCGGCCAATCCTGGCGTGGGGCATATGATTAGCTAACGTTACTGCAAGTCGCAAAGAGCGCTTAAAAAAGACTAAACTATCACATTAAAAATTGTTACATTTTGATTACGAAGCTATAGCTACACCACTGCCGTGTTCAATAAGGTATTCATTCAATCACTGGTTATGCCGATGGGTAAATCGAGACTTTTGAAGTGAGCATATATGATTCATGATCATAACAGTAAGTGAAATGTAAAAAACAACAAAGTGCAAAGCAAAGGAGAAGCAAAAGAGTTCATTATTCAATTTTTATTTCATAAGTTACTTAACCTGACTATTTTCAAAAAACAGACTTATCTCGTTACTATCTAAAAATACTCCGCGACGTTTCTCAGTGAATTCTCTCTTCACGGTGACCTTGTTGAGAAAAAATAGCAAGCGGGTGTTGAAGTCATTATAAACGGCATGCGTTGACTGTGGTCTTCGTTACGCAAGCGCTGTCAGATTCGAACAAACTAAAGCTTTCGGCCGTGAGTACTACGTCGATGCATGGCATATACGCGTCATCCTTTAGAGAATGACAGCGGAAGGGCGTTACAGGACGAGCAACACAACATATTTATACACGCATCACGGTCAGTTTTCATAAAAATATTTTGGACTAAACATTTTCGTAAGAAGGTATCTGAGCCAATCAGGATGCGCGACATATCATTAGCGATGCCGAACGACCACTGCGAAAAGGCACGTATACGAAAAACGTTTCATGAATTCGGCCCCACATCTTTATTAGCTCACTCGCCCGCTTCCCACAATGAACTAATGTTGTACAGTTCTGAATTCGGGTAAAAAAATAGCGAAAAGCTGTTGTGCTCAAGCCATAAGTCATAGGCTGTTCCTTGAAAATCGACAGGTGATTCTACTCCAGCCTGTCAGAGTTGACGTCCACAATTTAGGACAACTTTAAAGAAGCTAATAAGCATTGCGCGGTATACACAGATAAAAAACAGAAACGTGTTCGTACATTGGATATACACATATGTGATATATATGAATTAGTTGACATTTGCTGGTACCTTTGCGCGCTTGTACGCTGACTGACGGTTTCACTTATGACTGGCAATAATTCAAAAATCAACAAAACGGTGGGCCCAATGCCAACGGTTTGTGTACAGTTACGGCGCGCAGTGCGTGGCACCTTGTTTACCCTTCTTGCTTGTGTTGCGCTTTTAAAAGACATTCTGAGTTTCTCGAGTTTCCCAGAACAACTACGCTCCCGGGAGCGACAAAAACCTTTTGCAAGTCTCCAAATCTAGCAGCTTTTTTTTTTACAATTTCGGAAAAGCATCCCTTCGGCCATCAGAAGTGAATCTGCGCTTACGAAGAAACGCTACCAAGTGGTATCAAGCGGTTCCACGTTGATTCTGATTTTCTGATTGAACGAATGTCAACGCAAGGCCAAAACAAAAAGATTGTCGACGTTCGTGCTTCTCTCGCAGGTTGAGACCATCGGCGATGCGTACCTCGTCGTGTCGGGCATACCCGAATTCACGGAGGACCATGCTGACCGAGTGGTCGTCATGGGGCTAGCCATGCAGGCAGTCACACGGACCGTCCAATCACCAGTCGAGGGACACGCCATTGAGGTACGTTGTTGCCGTTGTTGATGGCGGCGGTGGAGGTGGTATAGCTGTGGCGTTGTCAGAGAAAAAGCTACAGCACCCCGATTACGTGCTAGCCGCTGTGTGCCACCCTAAGCCTGAAAATTCGATCTACAGGCGGAATCAGACTTGTCTAGAATGGTAGAGCACGTGGCTGTTGAGGCTGTTGTCGTCCGTGTCTGCTACCTCACGTTAGCTTATAGCTTTCATCCGTACTTGAAATACATAGCACAAGGATCTATATCATGCCGTTTCTGTGCTCTATACAAGTGCGATTCCACCGTGACAGTAATGCCCTAACAGATTCTGTACGTTGGGTCAAGGAATGGCAAAAGTGACAGTGTAGAGGCTGGCGCTAAAGATAATAAATATTAATGCTTCGGGTTTTATGTCCCGCGATGGGGACATGATTATGAGAGACTCCATAGTGGAGGCTTTCAGAAATTTCGACCACCTCAGGTCATTTAGGGCTCACCTAAATCTAAGCACCCGGAGCTCTGGCATTTCATCTTCATTTATAAATGCGGCGTTCACGGCTGGTACTCGAACACGCAACCTTCGGGCCAGCAGTCGATCATCATAACCATTGCACCACCGCGGCGGGTGGCGGTACGCGTAAGCCAACGTACCTTAAGCAGCGCTAACGCTGCGCAAATTGAAATCATTAATCAATATTCAACGAAAATCTCTAGCATAAACACCTATAGCGTTTTGCTCTGGAAAGACAACAGCATGTGGAATCAGTTAGCTCGCTGGTTCTAAATAAACTGCCTAGAATACGGTTTTTTTTCCCTTCCCTGAAGGCCTCCTTTTATCGCTTCGACAAAAACTGCTTTTCGAGTAATAATACCCATCACATCTGATCCTTTTTTTTTATGGGCGAAGCTCCTTGAGGCGTGGGTCTGTACATCCTCCAATGTTGTTGTACGTAGCCACCGGTGGCACATACCCACTCTATAGAGCGGGTATGTGCCACAGGGGATGCGAGATGGGAGGTGGCAGTACTCGGAGTGTTCATTAGATGGACGCGCGGACGGACGCATGGACGGACGTGCAGAGAGACTAGCAGACGGACGGACGAATGGTCGGACGCGTGGAGCGCATATGTGCCACAGGGCATGCGAGATGGAGGTACTTGGAGTGTTCACTAGATGGACGCACGGACGGGTGGACAGACAGACTAGAAGACGGACGAACAGATGCATGGACGCGCCGACGTATGGACGGATGGACGCACGGACTGACGGACGGAGGGATGGATTCACGGATGTTCGCGCGGACGGACGGAAGCAAGAACGAACGGACAGAAGGAAGCATGGACAGGCTGACCGACGCTTCGCCCCACTCATCATCATTCACTCCGTAAATGCACTGTGATTTTTTTACAGAGACAACTGTTATGATATCACAATAAGGGTCACGTGCATATTTGTAGTTCGCAACTGCCACTGGTGCCTGCAACTACTATCGCACGAAATTAGAAAAAAATTAACGCATCAGGGACACAACGGGGTTCGAACCATTGCAAGGTCCTCTGCGTGCCACCGTTGAGCCACGCCGGGGCTTGAAACTCTGTTGCAAGTTTGCCTTAGACAGTCTTGATATCGGGAAAATAATCGCGTTAGTATGACTGATAAAGTGTTTTACACTCTTGGAAAAAAAGTTCGCAGAAAGCTTGTACCCACGAGCAAAATGTTAGTAACAGCGGCTGTTACTAATCTTCTTGGGTCATTACTAACCTTTTATGACCATTTTATTACCCATGTTAGTGAACGTTTGGAGGTTGCAACAGTTACTTCCTTTTAAGCACTGTTAGTAACTTTGCCATGCACGTATTTAATGAATTTGTTAAACAAACCTTAATGGTTCTTACTACGAGCGTTTAACAACCTATTTAGTAGCACGGTGATCCACTCAAGTTCGTTGAGGCAATAAATGTAAGCTTACTACCCAGTCTTATGTCTTGTATATGAGGCAATGCTGAGGTGGTATTATGCAAAAGAGGCATACCTAATTATTTTTCTTCATATGCTTGATTAAAAGTCCTACATTACGTTACCTCGCTAATGTAAATTATACATCCTAGAGCATAGCCCCCCACTGGTACGAGCTGCATTCCCCAAAGCTAGGGCTATAAGTACTCCTGAAACCTGTTAGGAAACTGTACTTCTAGCGTGGACTTGCGGTTGTGTGCAGTCCTCTATTATGTGCGTAATTACTCAGTGATACATCGATATGTTGATGATCACGAATAGGACCGTTAAAAAACGGGTTAGTAACTGTGGAGGTAGTAACGGTTACTCACCACCCAGTTCCTAACACATATTAACCAGTTAGTAAAATATAGTACTACAAGCTTTTTTTAAGAGTGTAGAGCAGCAAAGGAACAACCAGGCGTTACACAATGCTTATCACGTAAAAAGTTGGTCGTCCAATGCTCCATACTATTGAGAAAGCTTGTTCTTGTTCACCTATCAACTGCGGCGCGTACCCACTTCAGCCATAAATCTCCATCGTCGTCAGCCACTGCATAAAAAGAATTTCACAAAATGACAAAATTCCTTGCAAGTGTGTATCAGATACCACGCTTCTCCGAAGAATGACGAGGGATAGCATTATAGTGAATGCTGCCTTACTACAGAAAAAAAATTATAGAATAGTGGGTACCCTGCAAGCGTGCCTGTAGCGGTTACCCAAAGAGTGCTTAGAAGAGACACCGAAAGACTGCTTTTCCAGCTTTCGCTGTGACTGTGCTGCGCGTTTCGCGCAGCCCTGCCATTTCCCCTTTTTCATTATCATTTCAATACTCCTCCTAACCCCCCTTTCTCTCTTCCTTCGCACTTTTTAGGACGCTGGCTTCACTGTAGGGTGAAAGTCTACGCCTCCGCGTGAACGTATGCTGGGCACGCGGGATAAAGAGGACCAAAAAATTTGTTTTTTTTTTTTTTTGCTAAAGTTTCTCTTGGTGCCGCGTGCGTCCCGTAAGTGTAGATGGCGTATGCAAACAGCGGTCTCACCCGTAAGACCAGTTACGAGGCGATGCCCAGTCTCGAGCGGTAGAATCTTTCAGCCAGAAAGTGTGAAAGCGGCCAGAGTACGTTCAACCGGCTCGAAACAGCGGGAAAGCTTTTTGCGGCTCAAGTAAGTTGAGTGCCTTGTGGCGAAGTGGTGTGCGCAGAAAAAGAAAACTTACCCGTCCAGTAAAGAGTTCGAGACGCGTTTCCATCCGTCTTCGAGGCTCAACGTTCGGTGAGAGGCCAGCTGCGAAGCGATGCAAATCTATGCGGGGTGACCACGTGGAAAAGTGGTGGCCCGAATAAAGATTCCGCCTCCCTCTATAAAATAAAAGAAGCCACTCAATCCTGACAGGATCTAAGCATTCGGCTGTTGTTTTTTGGTCGATTTGCGGAAATCACGAAGCCTGAGGTCTCCGGAGATGCTTCAGTTGGGGCACGAATAACATTCTTTAAATCATTTATTTTTCATTTTCACTTCGTAAAGTGAGGACGGAAATTAGATAAATCGAAGATAGACACAGAAGGCGAGAGTGACACAAACGGCTCCAAACGCGAAACAAAAGGCTTAGTTGTCAACGGAAAACAAATAAACAAAATTACCCAATGTCCCACTAAAGGGAACCGTGTGTGGATGCGAAGCAGTGGGCGCTATTGCCTCGTTCACACCGAAGTGGCAAGGCGGCAAAGCGTAAAGCGGGGAAACCTCCTCTCCAGGCGGCAAAAGCAGGAGGGAGAACGAGGTGCAAGGGTGATAGCTCTCGGAATAATTTTTCGCCATCTGCGGATGCTCACTGCTTTGCTGCAGCCAATCAGAACGCCACGCAGTGGAGGCGTGGTGGGGGCGCAGGTTTACGTTTGAGAGAAGCATCGCCACGTCATAGCGACACATGCGCAAAAACGCAAAATGCCCGCCTCCTCCACCGCGCGGCGATCCAAAGGGAGTAGGGCGGTCTGAACAGAAGCACGCTCTTGCCACCTCACCGCTTCGAAAAGCCCGCTTGCCCACTTTGCCGCGCTGCCTTCGGTGTGAACCAGCCTTAACGCTTACACTGGCGGCGGCATTGACTCTGGCGTTCATCGCTGCGTTGCACAGAAGAGAAGCCTAGGGAGGCGCAAAGCATGCAATGATAGACCAGTGTTTCCTACTGGAACATGTCAATCGCTTTTAACGGGCAATGAGAGACAGAAGCCTCCGATAGGGCTCAGAGACACGTAGCCCGCTTTTGTTTAACGCTCATGCTGATAATTTTCAATTTTCAACTACGCACACGAGAAATATCACATCTTTACTTATGTGATTCTTGAAGACAAAAGAGAAAAGTGAGCCCCGCAACTGTCTGCATCAGAGAGCAACACCTCAACAGTACACGAGGAATGGGGGTAACGTGTGATTAACGAGTGATTAAAAGGATAGGATTAAAGGTATAGAGATAGAGAGGGAGAAGGAGAGAGCATGGCGCAGGGACAGCGACAACTAAATGGAAGGAGAAGATAAGAAAGATGCACACGGTCGCAGAAGCCCGAGGACGGGGCACCACTCTGCGAGAGCTCTTGTCGGCGGTCGGAGATAGCTTCATCATCATCATCATCATCATCATCATCACCATCATCATCCTGACTACGTCCACTGCAGGACAAAGGCCTCTCTCATGTTCCGCCAGTTAACCCGGTCCTGTGCTTGCTTACGTTTTGTTTTCTTCGTAGCGTACGTTATCTATTATTCTTTTGCCCACTGCAGCGCAGCATATCGGGCTTAAAGAATAGCTAAAATCCCCGTCTTTCCACCTGTTCTTTTCCTGCTTCCTTCCTGTTTGGTGAGGAATTTATTCTTGGTCAACGTACATAAGAAGCGAGAATTGTTAGTGATCATCATCATCATCATCATCACCATCGTCATCATCATCATCATCAGCCTGACTACGTCCACTGCAGGACAAAGGCCTCTCCCATGTTCCGCCAGTTAACCCG